TAGAGACCCAGCCACTGGCACTTTCCAGATGCTATTTTAGAGTCAATATTCTTGACACCTTACTAACGGGGCTTGGAAGATGCCCCAGGCAGCTTCTCACCATGTTTCCAGTGATCTCAGTGAACGGTGGGAAGGCACAAAGGTTGGTATACTCTGGAGTAAATTTAGATGCAAAACTGTTTTGCATCCTTATTTCTCTGAGTAATCTGTTCCCTGCCAAGTTTCCCCCTTTATAGTCAGGGACCAACCAATTACCATGAAAATCAGATGAATAAATATTGAAGAGAATGTGTTCATTGCCTATTTTGGTGTCCTCACAGAAAGAATGTGATGTTACATTTTTAATTAAGTCTTTCATTTCCATTTTCTTTTTCAGCTAAAGCTGTCCTCCAAAGGATCAGTTTAACTAAATAATTAGATCCAACAAAAAAGCCCCCCCCCCCGAAGAACAGTCATTAGTAGGTATGACTTGACAAATTTTCTCAACAATGCTACAAGTTTCTTCTCCAAAATTAAAATTGTATGGTGCACACGGCTTTGGGCATTGGTTCACTTGGATACCTGGTTTAATCATATTTCTACCAATTTACACTCTCTTTATCTGCTACAGTATGATACTGATTTTTAATGTATAATAAATATGCTATTAGTAGTACACCACTCTTCTTTAAGTCATTCTTTGATCTAAATTTTAGATACAGACTAAGTGAACAAACAAACTCAATCATCTTTTCCATAAGATGACATATTTAGCTAGATTTTAGCTTTTTGGTTTTTTAAATATCTAAAATTTTGAAGTGATATATTTGTATTCTGATAGAATTGCTTGGGTATCTTCTCCCCTATTTCCTCTTAGATAACCACAACTGAACTGTTAGTCTATGCAAACAGGAAGAAGTCCGAGCTGATTCTACCTTGAAAAACCTGTTTCTCATTCTATGTCTCCTAGTAGCATGTGACCCTTAGCACCTAGTCACCTCCACAGGCTCTCAACTGTTAACCTGTAAAAACGCAGGCCAATCTTGGTGTTCATTCACCAAATGCTTGTTAAACACCTGCTATGTGCCAGGCACTATTCTACATGTTTGGTGCTGTGGCACTAAACAAGTTTGCTACCCTCATGGAGAGTACGGTCTAGTGGAAGAAAGGAGCCAAATAATGAACAAATTAACAAAGAAACAATGTTTGTTTATGGTAAGTGCTTTAAGGCAAAAATAAATCAGAATACAGAAACAGGAGGAATAGAGGGGGTCCTATTTGGGATAAAAAGTTTAGCGAAGGCTTCTCTGAAAAGACTTCTCTGAAAAAAAGTACAGCTCCTCTTAAGAGATGAGTATAAACCGGATGAGCATATACAAGCAAAGTCAGCAAAGACAATGAAGACAGGTTTTACTCTGAACAGAGATGCAACAACATCCTAAATAAAACATTTGGCGAACAAATCCAATAATGCATTTCACAAGAACTATGGCGAGGTGAAGTAGAGTTTATGAGTATATGACAGGATCACAGCATCAGAAAAATCTAGCTGTGTAATTCTCCATATTAAAAATTTAAACACAATTGTTATCTCAAAAGATGCTGAAGAAGTAGTTGATAAAGTTCAACAACTATATATAATCAAAGTAATTAAATAATGCATGTAAGTTCCATGAGAGCAGAGATTTTCTTTTTAAACAGATTCATAGACATATTCCAGCTGCCAAAACACAATGTCTGGATGTAGTAGGCATTCAGTACATATTTATTGAATGAATGAATAAAGGGATGAATGAAATCCTTTAGGATAATCACCCAAAAGATAATCTCTCCAAAGCCTACTGCAGCCAGTACAATCATTCCTTTTCAGGTTTGGAGTGGACAAGGACACACTCCCCTGGTCAACCTCTGTAGGCAGCCCTAGTCTGAGCAATGGGCTGAGAATGAAACTGTTGAGGCTTAGAGGGCAGGAGGTGAAACTGTCCATGTCTGCAATGGGAGGACCAATGTTCCAGTAAAACTACTGGAAGAAGTAAAATGTCCAGGCACAAGATCATACCACATTCTTCTGTCTCTAGCAATAATCGTTGAGAAAAAGAAACTCAAATAATATATCACTTATAACAGGGACTAAAACTAGACACTGTAGGAAATAATCTAATAAAGGAGACAGAAGAACTTTGTGGGAAGAATTTTAAAACTCTACCAAAAGCTATCTTAAAAACTGAGTTACTGGAGGCTTATGCCATGTTCATGGCTGTGCTGATCTAATACAGAAAAATGTCTGTTCTTCCTCAAATTAATCTATATTCGTTGAATGCAAGCCCTATCAAAATCCCAGCACATACTGTTTCTGACTTCAAAACTGGATTCTAAAATCAGTATAAAGAATAATAGATATCTGAAGCTAGGTAAAACAGCTTAGAAAAAGGAGAATCAAAAGGAAGGACTCATACCACCAGAGGTTAAAAGAGTTTCAAAGCCATAAGGATGGGCACAACATGGTACTTATACCAGGACTAAACAGTCGGATCAGTAAAACAGAAGCCAGCATCCAAAACAGACCATGATGTAGGGAACTTAGTATGTTTTAGAAGGAACATCAGGACAGCAGGGTCGAGGCGAATGGTTTAGTAAACAGTGACAGAAAAACTGGCTTACTATCTGGAGATTTAAAAACACGTTGGGTTTCGGCAAGGCATGGTGGCTTACGCCTGTAATCCCAGCATTTTGGGAGGCTGAGGTGGGTGGATCACTGGGGGTCAGGATTTCAAAACCAGCCTGGCCAACATGGTGAAATCCAGTCTCTACTAAAAATACAAAAACAAACACACACACACACACACACACACATATATATATTGGGTCTTGATCTCATTTCATATTCAAAAGTACCTTCAGTTGGAATTAAAGCCTACATGTGAAAGATAAAACCATAAAGCTAACAAAAGAAAATATATATTCAAATACAGTATATTTGTGATTTGTGGGGGATAAAAACTTTAAAAGTCAAAACCATCAACCACAAAGGGAAAAACTGATGGATTCAGGTGCATTCCATGAAAGACTTCTATTTGATGAAGAGTATCACAGACAAAATTATCAGATAGATGAAAAAAGCAAGAGAATACATATGAAAATTCTATTGCTGGAAATCTCAGCAAGAAAACACAATCAGAAAGTCAAAAGAAAAACATGGAGAAAAGATAAGAACATAAAATTTACAGGAAGAATCTCCTAATTTGCTAATGAAGTGTAACTAAAGAATTGCAAATCAAACAATGAGATATTCCCTTTCTCCTTACTCCTACAAACTAGCCAAACTAGAGACTCTCTCAAGGAAGAGCAAGGATGTCGCTGGTGTGCATCTCAGTGGCCCAGCCACTCTGAAAGCAAACACAAGCCCTAGTGAAATTCAATGTATGTGTACCTTATGACCAAAAGTCCACTCTTGGCTCCTGTCCCAGATAGACCATCCCCAGGTACAGATAAAAATGTGCAGGAGAGTTTATAGTAGCTTAGTCATCCTTCTCAAGAGCACTCAGTGACTGACAAGTGGACTGTGTAGGTGATGGCCCCAGGCAGCCCATCATGATAATGAGCTGATAAACAGAAAGCACCATGGACAGATCTCAACAACCTAAATAGTGGTGGAAAAGGAAGAAACAAAATGGGATTTGTTGAACATATCATGTTTGCAAACTTTGTTTTTCTTTTTCTTTTTTTAAACAGGGTCTTGCTCCATCACCCAGGTTGGAGTGCAGTGGTGCAATCACAGCTCAGGGCAGCCTTGACCTACTGGACTCAGGCGATCCTCCCACCTCTGCCTCCTGAGTAGCTGGGATTACAGGCAGTCACCACCACGCCTGGCTAATTTGCAAATTTCTAAAAGGCACACACACAAAACATATGTTTTCTCAGAAATATATATGTTTAAAAAGATACTAAAGAAGGTGGATTGGAAGGATATTCATTACATTTATGGGGAAGTGGCTGCCTCCGTGGAAAGGGAAGAGGAACTAGCTCCTAGCTGGAGGTGGGAAGTGACTGCTTCCACAGAGACAGAAAGAGGAACTGTTCAGAGTGCCAGGAGTTGAAATGTTCAGGCAACTGAATCTTGGCACCTTAGGTAATGAACCATCTCAGGTAACACCCCCACCCCTGACACATGCAGTTTAATTGTGTTCCAGTCCAACTGAAGACAAAGGCTTCATCCCACCATCAATCAGAAAATGCCACGTTCTTAACTCCTATTAAATAACTCTACCCTCCTTTGTTGTTTTCACTGAATGAAAGGTTTTAAACAATCCTGGAACTTCACTCAATGGTTAGGTTGATTTAACTGCATGTATTAAACTTAGCAATTCCTGGACTATGCCCCAGGTGAAGTCAAATGTGTTTATTGACAGGAAGATGGAAAATTCAGCCAAACCTATAGGATTATTCAGATAGAGCTGTAGTGCCAGGGATGGCCAACATCACTAGGCATTACTTCTCTAAATGGGAAAAAAGAGACTAAGCAATGGGGGTTCATTTACTGATCATCACATTTTACAGCCTTACAACAAAATCCTCAGTGATTCAACTTTTCGAGTTAAGTATTTGAGATAAATATTTGAGATAAGTATTAAAAGCCTAGGAGCGTGTACTTTCTTGTCTACTAGAAATTTGTTTGGAGGGAAAATCCTTCAGTTTCTATATTTATTTACTTTAAAGGACATAAAAAGGCTGTCAGCCTAGGCCATAAATCTAAAAGTGCCAAAGTTCTAAAAGGCCAAAAATTCTAAAACTAGTGTGGGGCCCTGACCATTGGCTCCTGACTCCTGGCTCCTGGCTCCTGGCTCCTGGCTCCTGGCTCTGGCCTGAAGACAGGAGTCATCTGACCCTGGGCTCCCCTGGATGACTCGGTAGGCACTTGTGGATAGAGGTGGGAATGTGGAGGGCAACTGACAAAGTGGAGGCTGTTTAAGGCAGGTCTGCACCCATTGGCAGGTCCAGCCCCACCCCCACTGGGTGCTCACCGTGCCTTCCGGGTCCACGAGTAGCAGGTGCTTGGCCTGGCCATTGTGCATGCCCGTGAGGACGAAGGAGCCTGGGTTAGTGGTGCTCTTCCTGACCAGGAAGTCTCCGTCTTTCTCCAGCAGCCCCTCTGCCTCCTTCCTGCTCATCTCTCCTTGGTACCAAGTCTCAGCTCGCAGCTCCTCCAGCATCTTGGCATCCGGGGCTCTGGGTGACACAGGGCTGATGCACTCCACGGAGGCTGCCTTGCTTAACATGGGACCCAACGGCTGGTTCTTGAGAGCATCTTCAAAAGGTTCTGTCATCAACATTGACCAGCAACAAGTCAATCCCAAGAGGAGAAAATGATAAAAATAAAATAAAATGAGAGAGATGGAAATGCAAAGGCAACTCCTCTGGAACAGGAAAACAAAGACCACTGGAGAAAAATAACTGGCTGGTAATATAACAAGAGCCATCATAACAAGCATTGAAAAGCACAGCCCAAATTTTGGCATGACTTTCTGATGAGTCTGCCTTCCCAAGACAGCTGGGAGTTGTGCTGTGTGCCAAGGAGTCAAGCACACCCTTTGTACAGCTAGTTGGACTGACTTCATTTTTGCATGCTGCAAGAGTCCATGAATATCACATGCCATGTACTTTCTCTGGAACTTCAGCCAGCCTCTTTAACAAATTCTGAATAAAAACCTGCCAATACCAAAGAAAAAGACAAGCTACAAAGCTTTGATTTTATGCAAAACCTGAGCCCAATCCACCAAACATTTATTTCAAAATCTTTGCATCAGGCAAAGTTTTAAAAGAGAAAACTGACGTGCATTGGGTGCCTCTTGTGTGACTAGCTCCAGGCTTGGAGCTCTACTTCCCCTTAACCTTCACTTGTTTTCTTGTGGAACGAGGCTCTCGCATGAGTGCCTGAGACCATACCTGATTTCATCCCCTTTGGAGCACACTTTTCAGTGCAAGGCATGTGCGAATGGTGAGACTGCTGTTCTAACAATAAATACCAGCAGAAAAAGAAGTAGCCAGGCATATCTAATTAAATCTTGGTGTTCGATTTTCACATGAGGTAGTGTGTATGAAAGAACTCTGAAAAACGCACACAGTGCTATGCGATGGAAGGTAGTGTGATGATTATTTCAGACTACACTGTCTACCCAGGACAACATAAGCAGCCCAAGAACAGGAATGGTTATTTCCTGAGCATAACTACACCCTCAGAGCCCAGCATTTCTCCTGGGACACAGCTCATTCACATAGTCAACCAATGCTGTAAAATAAGCCAAACTTGTTCCATGTTAGTAGAGGGTGGGCAGAAGTGAAGTAAATAAATGAAACTAAAATTAGCTCTTTTTGATGCTTATTAATCTTTGACAGATTTGGAGATAAAAGTAAGTTAGAACCATTAGCAAAAATTAGATTTGTGGATGTTATTTTTCATCTAAAAATTCTCCTGACTACCTGGAATTGTAATTTGTATTGTACTGTTTCTGTACCATCACCACCTTTGCTATCACCTACATTAGCAGCAGCATCCTCACTATCCTCACCATCCTCACATTCACTTTCATTGGCACCAACACCACCATCAGCATCCCCACCATCGTCATCATCATCATTATCATCACCATTATCACCATCATCCCCATTGTTACCGGCATAACCATCATCATCACCATCACTGTCACCACCAGCAGCAGCAGCAACAATACCATCAGCAGCATCATCACTATTATCCCCATTGTCACCATCACCATCATCATCACCATCACTGTCACCAGCAGCAGCAGCAGCATCACCACCATCTGCACATCATCACTATCATCACCATCATCATCACCACCACCACCATTGGCATCACTACCATCATCATTATCACCATCACAACCACCACCTTCACCACCAGCACAATCATCAGCATCATCACCACGACCATCATTGCCATCACCATCATCACCACCACCAGAACCATTAGTAGCATTATCACCACTACCATCATCATCATTGCCACAATCACCACCATTATCACCACCACCATCACCATACTATCACACCATCGTGATCACTGTCACCACCACCACCATTATCATCATCATCAGCAGCAGCAGCAACATCACCATCACAATCACCACCACCATCACCATCAGCACCATCATCACCATCATTACACCACCATCATCATCACCATCACCTCACCATCACCACCATCACCTCACCATTATCATCACCATCAGCACCTCACCATTATCATCACCATCAGCACCATCATCACCTCACCATTATCATCATCACCATCACCACTATCATCACTAGCTGTACCATCACCATCATTATCACCACCTCCACCATCAAAATCAGCAGCAGTGGCAGCACCATCATCACCAGCACGATCATCACATCAGCACCAATATTATTTAGATCTACTGTTCAAAATAAAGAATACAGAGTGCTGGCTTTATTTAATTCAATACTTTTCAATAGACACCAGTCTTTCTAAGGCTCTTTTCACATTCTGTCTCCCCTCCTTAGGTTTTGAAAGCAGGAGTAGAAATTAACTATGAAAAAAGGGTAGCTCTGGTTCTCATTTTTCATCCAAACACCAGCCAATCTAATCTTCCTTAGGCTCTGGGTCCAGGAGTCATTGGTAAATGGATTAAGTTAAACAGTAAAAATGCTCTAACCAAATATGCGACTACTAAACACAGTTCGGAGGTACTATAACAACTCCAGCAGAAGCTGGGAGAGCCATCACTGTGCTTTGCATCTTGAAAAAGTGGCTTCACATTTCTCAAGCTGTTTGAGATTCTACAGTTCCTACTTAATTTTTTTTTTTTTTTTTTTTTTTTTTGAGACTCTCGCTGTCACCCAGGCTGGAGTGCAGTGGCGCGATCTTGGCTCACTGCAACCTCCACCTCCAGGGTTCAGGCAATTCTCTTGCCTCAGCCACCTGAGTAGCTGGGATTATAGGTGCCTGCCACCATGCCTGGCTAATTTTTGTATTTTTAGTAGAGATGAAGTTTCACCATGTTAATCAGGCTGGTCTCAAACTCCTGACCTTGCATTCCACCCTCCTCAGCCTCCCAAAGTACTGGGATTACAGGCTTGAGCCACCAAGTCCGGTCAGTTAGATAATTTTTTTAAAGTCACAATGGGGGTCCAGTGTGTCCGGAAAGTCAAATTTACTGGGGAGAAACTGGTGTTGTCATGAGGCTGCCTAATTATAAAGGCACTTAACCCCATCCTTGCTCATACAAAATACCACAAATCACAGGTATTGGGCCAGCAAGGCTGCCTTTTACAAATGATAAAGTTAGTTAACTTCTAGGATTCTTCATTTCCTCCTCTGTAAAATAAAGATAACTCTAGTCATCATAATACTTACCTGTAAAAGTTTAAAAATAGGTGTTTAGCACATGGTAGAAACTCATTCAAAACTAGTCTCCATTCCCTCCCTCTTCAGCCTATAAAATTCTCAAGAAATTAACTGATGGGAAAAGGTGAACTCTGGTTGTCATTTTTTCTCATGAAAAGCAAATTTTAGGATATAAAGCTCTTATGAACTCATGATGTTCTTTCAAAATTCTTTAACAAAAATTTTCACTTTCATTAATCAGTTCATGAATGATTTCATTTCCTCAGCCTGTATGACACACAGAAAGTCTGTGGTACACATCCCACTATATTGCTATCTGTAACAGGTTCCCATCGCTCTCCCTATCCTGTTTAGTCTTCATCACTGAGGAGCACTAACCACTATCTGGTGATAAATATAGTTGCTTACTTAAGCTCCACAAGGTAGAGCCTTTGCTGGTTTTCTCTTCCTGTATATCTCCATCAAGCAGAACAGTATTGACAAATGGTAAGTGTTCAGTAAATATGTGGAGAGGGGTAAGAGGTAAGCAAGAGAAGAAAAATGAGATAGCAAGTGGGAGGAGGGGAGAAGGAGAGAGAAAACCCTCGTAAGAGAGAGGTATGCTGCAATTTCTTGCCTATAAGTTAAATGTTGGTCTACTTTTTAGACTGAGAGCTCTTTGGAATCATGGGCCATGCCATTTCATCTTTGCATCCTTGGCAACTAATACAGTAGGTGGCACATAATAGCCAGTTACTATTAAAATTAATAAATAAATGTGTGTATGTATATTGTTTGTCTCTATATATTTGCAGATCTTCAAGAGGAATGTCAATTCCAAAAAGGGGCGGGGGGGGGCGGGAATTGCTCTGTCTCTTGACTACAGAGAGGGCGATAATCCCAAAACCTTAAACAAGCCCAATCATCACCCAGAAAAGTACAGCTAATCATCACCATTAATCAAAACCCTGCTATCAGAAAATTCAGTAATTACACAGGTTTCAAATAAAAGGGAGGGTAAAAAGCAACCTCAAAAGAGAAGAAAACCAGGGACAAACGGAAACCCACTCATGTCAAAGAGGTCTTTCCTCGGGCTGCTCTCAGCACTGCTGACCACAGCTGGCCAGGCCTGCGGTGGGATCTGCTGGGTGTTGACGTAGGTGGGTGCTTCTCCCGTGGGGGCCATGTGCAGTTTCCCTTCTGGCATGCTGTAGATGTCCAAGGACCCTGCAACAAGAAAGTGAGCCCATTTTCTTTTATGAGGGTGACATGACTCGAGCCACCAGCACTTCACAGAGAAGCTCTTCAGTCTGCAAATGGGAAAACTCCTGCAGATTCCCATCGGTGACATTCTCCTCTTCTGAGCTTGTCACCACACACTGCTGTGACCTGGCTAGGATGTCTTCCAGCCCTGCAAATCAACATGGGATCTGTCAGCCAATGTCAGTGTAGACACCTTGATGGCGTCACTGTGATGGCCTTAGCAAAGATTCTGGCCCTTGCTGCCCCAAGACAGCAGGAACCTGGCAGGCAGAACATGCCTAGTCTCCTCCTGTCCTTGACAAATGGTCCAAGACCGAGCAGAAGGACCACAAGCCTAATTGCTCTTGTTTTTTTTTTTTTTTTTTAAATATAAGCAAATGCTTTATAAAGCAATACAATAGAAGCTCTGTACATTTTAAGGAACGGAGAGAGCCTCCTTCCTTACAAAACAGAGCTGCAGCTACTGCCCCTGCATCTGTGAAGGAAGCCTAGGATGGGTGTGCAAGTGAAGAGGCCCCTCCGCTGCGGCAGTAACACTGTCTGGATGGACTTCACAGTTAGGCAGTGGGTGTGCTGAGGGTGGGCCCAGGCTGTTCTGTCACCCAGACCCTGGGTGAAAGTGTCACCCAAACCAAGTTGCCTGAGAACGCCCGCTCAGATCCCTCTCTGAGTCTTTTTGCGTGTGTGCCCTGTCTCCAATCCTCTTACATAAACACGTTCACAAGAACACCCTGTGGTGTTCACATTTCTGGAAAGAGGGTGTCTTTCATACCCTATGGGCGGTGGTGTGTTGAAGCCAGCTCAATCCGGCTGGCAGGAGTTGGTTCAGGGCTTTTTAAAAATCTCTCCCAAGAGCCTGTGGCTGGACATTTGCCAGCACACCACTGTCTCCCAGCCTGTAGGTGTGAGAATGAAGTGTCGCGCTAACATTCCCTCGCTGGGGAACACTGCCTGCGACACCACGCACTGCGTTTCTGCTCTCATGTTTCTCAACATGCTTTCCCCATTGAAGAGTCGAGTCAGATTATGCGTCCTTGCTTAGTGACAGCTATTTGCAGTTTACACCTTTGTGTACATTGCAAACAAATCAGCCTTTAGAAAAGAATTTCACAAACAAAATTTTTAAAGGAGAAGGTCAAGAGCCCAAGTGCATAATCTTCCTGACTGCCCTTTCCCATGGTGCTGAGCTGGGGCATGAGGACACGTGCCTTGGTGACACCCGGAGTTCATGTCCACTGGGAAGAGTATCTGCCAGCAAATTAATAAGTGACATGCTAATTTGTTCTATGAAAAAAGGTCTTTATTTATTTTATTTTTTGAGGCAGAGTCTTACTCTGTCACCCAGGCTGGAATGCTGTGGCACGATCTCAGCTCACAGCAATCTCCACCTCCCAGGTTCAAGTGATTCTCCTTCCTCTGCCTCCCGAGTAGCTAGGATCACAGGTACACGCTAACATGCCTGGATAATTTTTGTGTTTTTAGTAGAGACAGGGTTTCACCATGTTGGCCAGGCTGGCCTTAAACTCCTGACCTCAGGTAATTCATCCGCTTCGGTCTCCCAAAGTGTTGGGATTACAGGCGTGAGCCACCGCGCCCGACCTATTTATTGTTTTCAAAGAATGGGAAATGTATTGAGAGCTCTGAGTCTGAAATTCCAGGCCCGGAGCTCATTCTGCTATATCATCTGTTCTCGATCTGGCTGGAATCACTTGAATATACCAAAAACAAGACCTGTTTTAAAATAAACCTGACATATTTTACAACAGAGTAAATATCTAACAGAAATAATGTGTCCCCTTTATTCTTTAGCAATTATTGTATGGCTATGCACATGTACGGAAGTACATACATTGTATGTACTTTTAAATACATTGTATGGAAGTACATTTTAAATGTATATAGAAAGAGGATAAATAGCCCATAGTGAAAATGTCCCTCTGGCAAAGTTAGGACTCTGATTTGCTATTTCCAGCCTATTCTGAGGTAGAACATATGGTGGCTTCTGCCAGGCCTTATGTTTTATTGACTGGGCCAAAACTGTGGGTCTTCCTGCATCTGGGGTAGGCAAGACATGAAATTCTCTTACATAGAGGAAATTTTTTAAATGCATGGTCATTTGCTTCCTGGCATAAATAGCTATAATAAGGGAATAGCCTTAACATTAAACCAATAAATGTTTAAATTTAGATACATAGAAGCATCAGTTGCATCCCCCTTCAGACTTCGTAGACTTAGTAACCAGTATCCCAGAGCTATTAAAAGAGTTATAATTTTTTTTTGAGAAGGGAAGACGGTTAAAATTAAAAGACATTCTTAAAGGATTGATAGACTAGCTAGATTGAGATCTGAATACACTCATACACAGTTGTATGTGTATATATAACTGTCTAGAGAATAAAGGCTTATGTGAGCAATTAGCAGTTATTTCTTAGATAGTTGTATCTAAATTATTATAGCTATACCTAAAGATATTTGAACTAGCTACCTGACTTATAGACAGTTATATGGACATTCGTGTTTCTTTATGTATTTTTTATTTTTTCATCATCAGGTGGAATATGATGGACATGAGTTTTAATGTGTGATGTAGGTGCATGTTACTACATTTTTAAGATACAGAAGTGTTCTCTAAGAGTATCCAGGGCCTGTGAGAGACTTATATCCCTAGTGCCACCTCTGCCTCAATCCCCAGCTTAGAGTAGGGGACTTCACAGTTCCCCCAAAGCTGATCCTGAGTAAAGGGAAGGAGAATGAGATAAGGAAGGAAAGGCAACAATTTGCTGTAAGAGTCACTGGGGGTCAACCTCAACCTTCTAGTTGCCTCACGAGTTCCTGTCGGAAACTGGGGTAAAGGTGCACCTGAGAAGTCAACTTCTGAGTGCCCTTGGGCACAAAGGCTCTGCCAGCAGGGAGTGTATAGTCTCAGGCACATGAGGCAGTGAGCACAGACAGGGTGTGAATTTCCTGAAGTTGCAGGGAGGCACCACCTGATTGGTGCCAGGAAATCAACACCATTGCTTCTTTTTTTTTTTTTTTTTTTTTTTTTTTTAATGAGATGGAGTTTTGGTCTTGTTGCCAGGCTGGAGTACAATGGTGTAATCTCAGCTCACTGCAACCTCCACCTCCTGGGTTCAAGCGAGTCTCCTGCCTCAGCCTCCCGAGTAGCTGGGATTACAGGCACTTGCCACCACACACAGCTACACAGCTGATTTTTTGTATTTAGTAGAGTTGGGGTTTCACCATGTTAGTCAAGCTTGTCTCGAACTCCTGACCTCAGGTGATCCTCCTACTTCAGCCTCCCAAAGTGCTGGGATTACAGGCATGCACCTCTGCACCCAGCCACATCATTGCTTCTGTTTCTATGGTCTAGTCAGGATTCTATAGCAACACACACAGCAACTATTTCCAGGGCTCACTCTGTCAGTCCACAGGAAATAAGCGACCCAGTGGTGAGCATGTTACTTTTGACAAGTGTCTTTTGCGTTTCTCAACCATCTCACCTTGCCTCTCACTTTGCCTGAAAGGCGTTTGCTGCCAGTCTTCGCCAAAGGTGTCTCCTAAGTGTCTTCCCTGGTAATAAGTCTGCTCTTTTCCTGCAAACTATAGACACATGTAAATACAGAGAATGAAAAACTTCTCTTCTAATTTCCCCATTTTTGAAAGCCACAGGACAGTTGGCAGATTGGATCCTCAAGGGGATCACATCCTTTGTTACACCCAATTTTCCCTTCATGCCTCACGGTTGGCATTAAGATTTAGGAAATAAATTTGTGTGGGTGTGAGGAAAAGGCTGCATCTCCATCAAAACTACACATGCCCCCCCTTGTTTTCATTACCCCCACCACCCCTCCCAAAGTGTGACTGCACATCAAGCTCTTCCATATGTACGTCCTAAAATAAATCTCAATTACAGAGTATCTATGTGTCAGAACACACTTCCCACATAACACATACGCCCATGATCATTCACACTTGGGCAAGTCCACTCTATAAACCAGGAAATTTCCTCCAAAAAACTGGGAAATTCCCTCTCAGTGTCAGATCCCTGAGCTCAATGTCATTTTGCCATTTTTAGTGGTGTCATTATCATTCCCATAAGGTAGTAATGTTAAAAATTTCCTCGAACAAAAGAGAAAAATCATAACTCCAGAAAGCAATTGGCTTACTATAATTTTGAGTTGGACATAAAACAAGGGAATGAATAAAATAGAAAACTCAAAAAATTCTCATATTTAGGGGTCTATATTCACTCTCTTTTTAGAGAACCCAATGTCTCCCAAGCCTCTTTAAAATCTTAAATTCAAATAAAGAAATAAATAAAATCTTAAATTCTCTCTTTCCCTCACTGAGATCACAGTATGATGGAATATGTCTGAGGGAAAATATCCTCAGACTCATATCCCAGGAATCACAACACAGTTCCTAAGCGTTTGGCTAATGCTTTATGATGTTAACACAATGCTTTTTCTCATCTGCATGCTTTATGAAGTCCAATGAGAGAAAATTCATGATTTTCAAAAATGGAACAGAACATCAGCCTGAAATAAAACCAAAGAAAACAAAAGGAAACAAAGTTGAATTAGCCTCCAGCCTCCATTCCTTATAAAAGGAAAAAAGCCTGTAAGACTTACCTGGGCTGTGTCAGAAGCATGGGGTCTGGGTTTCAGCCGAGCATCAAGAAAGCCCCCTGGAGGAGGCATCTTGCTTGGGATGCTGTTGTAATATGGGTGGTCTGAGCCATCTCCCTCCTCTTCCGTCCATGGCTCATCCAGACTCTGCATTCTGTTAAAAGAAGATTTCCAAGGGCTTTAGCCAAAAGTTGAGCTTACAGCCAAGATCAACAAATCTAATGTTAGTGCCTGTTATCAAGAAAAGAGAGTTTAGTCAGTGCCTCCTCAACCATCTAGGTCTCGTGCATAAATGAAAAGCAGATGAGTCGTTTAGCAAACTCTCTCTGCCATATTCAGTTTCACTCACTGGAACATTACAGTCATGTTTGAAAGAAGTCCTTTTGTAACAGTACATTTTACTTAAGAAAGAAATTATGCCTAAGGGTAGCCAGCTCCTCAGAGGACAGCATACATTTCAGTAAGCCATGAAATTTATCCAAAACAAAACCAAGCGCAAAATGGAAATTTAGTGATACGAGGAAAAAATGGTAGAATATGAACCTCTCAGAATTCTCCCTTCTGCTATCCGGAAAAAAAAAAAAAAAATGTTGTGGTTCGAAAAACATTATCAAGAAAGTAAAAATACAAACTACAAAATGGGAGAAAATATTTGCTAACATACATCTTAAAAGAGACAAAGAGACATGTATCTAGAAAATATAAAGTACTCCTACAACTCAACAATAAAAAGACAACCCGATCTTAAAAATGAGCTAAGGATTTGAGCAGACTTTTCTCCAACGATACACAAAAGGCCAATAACCACATGAAAAGATGATCGACATCATTAGTCATCAGGAAAATGCACATCAAAACCACGATCAGAGACCACTTCAGTCCCACGAGGGAAGCTATAATCAAAGAGATGGACAAGAAAAAGTGTTGATGAGAACATGGGGATATCAGAACCCTCACACATTGCTGATGGGACTGTAAAATGGTGCAGCCACTTTGGAAAATAGCTTTGCAGTTTCAGCATGAACATATGACCTCTCCCAGGTATATACATAAGAATATTGAAACATATGTCCACAAAGAAACTTGTGTACATCTTCACAGCAGCATTGTTCATAAGAGCTAAAAGGTAGAAGCACCCAATTGTCCATAAACTAATGAATGGATGAACAAAGGGTGATATATCTATACACTCAAATATTATTAACAGCTCTAAAAAGAAAGAAATACTGACACATCTGATAACACGAGTGAATCTTGAAAACATTCTTCTAAGTGAAAGAAGCCAGACACATACAGTATGATTCCATTTCTATGAAATGTCCAGAATGGGCAAATCCATAGAGACAGAAAGTAGATTAGTAGTTGCCTGGAAAGCAGGTGGTGGAGAATGGGGAGTGTTGCTGATGAATGTAGAGTTTCTTTGGGGGGTAATGAAAATGTTCTGGAATTAATGGTGATAATTGTACAATTTTGCATATACCAAATCTACTGAATTGTAAACTTTAAAAGGGCAGTTTATTATATATGAATTAATTATCAATTTTTAAAATAATAACAAATGGAGTCTTAGTGGCATTTGATTTGTTTTTCAATGTCTTTTTTGTTTCTGTGTTGAAATGCCCTTGGATTTCTGCAAGGAAAATCCTCCAAGAAAAATCAGACTATACTAAAAAATCCACTGATAGATAGATTGATTGATTTTTTGAGACAGGGTCTCACTCTGTCGCCCAGGCTGGAGTGCAGTGGTGCAATCACTGTTCACTGCAACCTCTGCCTCCCAGGCAAGCCATATTTCCACTTCAGCCTCCTGAGTAGCTGGTACTACAGGTATGCACCACTGAGCCCGGCTAACTTGTATTTTTAGTAGAGGTGGAGTTTTGCCATGTTGCCCAGGAGACGGTCTCACACTCCTGGGCTCAAACATCCACCCACCTCGGCCTCCCAAAGTTCTAGGATTATAGGCGTAATCTTGTAATCCACACCTGGCCCGAAATCCATTTATATAAAAGTACTATTTTTTTCTGAGCGTGGTGGCTCATGCCTGTAATCCCAGCACTTTGGGAAGCCAAGCCGGGCAGATCACCTGAGGTCCGGAGATCGAGACCAGCCTAACCAACATGGAGAAACCCCGTTTCTACTAAAACTACAAAATTAGCCAGGCGTGGTGGTGCATGCCTGCAGTCCCAGCTACTCGGGAGGCTGAGGCAAGAGAATTGCTTGACCCGTGGAGGCAGCGGTTGCCGTGAGCCGAGATCGCACCACTGCACTCCAGCCTGGGCAACAAAAGAGAAACTCCATCCAAAAAAAAAAAAAAAAAAAAAAAAAAGATGCAGCGAGGTGCGGTGGCTCACACCTGTCCCAGCACTTTGGGAGGCCAAGGTAGGTGGATCACAAGGTCAAGAGATCGAGACCATCCTGGCCAACACGGTGAAACCCCGTCTCTACTAAAAATAGAAAAAAAATTAGCCGGGCGTGGTGGCGCGCGACTGTGGTCCCAGCTACTCCGGAGGCTGAGGCGGAAGAATCGCTTGAACCCGGGAGGCGGAGGTTGCAGTGAGCCAAGATTGCACCACTGCACTCCAGCCTGGCGACAGAGCAGGACTCCGTCTCAAAAAAAAAAAAAAAAAAAAGGTGCTATTTTAAATTTCCAGTTGAAGATGGGCAATGGATCTCTCCCCCAAAGCAACAAAGCTGAATGTATCAAATCCTCATACCGCCAGGAAATGTTTTCCACTTTGGAGACTCATGGCCGGAGGGATTGAGTAGAAAACCCAAGAACTTTTCCGAAACAGAAGCTCCTGCCTTGCTGGCCCCTGAGATCTCAGCATCCCAGGAGGAAAACCTGCCAGTTCCGCCACAGATCGGGTCCCCAGAGAACTGGGCTGGAAAGGCTACATGCAAGGTGGGTTCTCTTATGCTCCCAGGCTGCCCCCAGCTGGAGGAGTGGAGCTGGAATGGAGGGCAGAGCAAGTCCAAGAGGTCCCCCTTGCCCCACTGTCAGATAGTAGGCTGCGGACATCAGAGGCCACTGCAGGATAAGGTGAAGCAGGTGTCAGGTCACCGATAGTACGAAGCTACAGGAAGGGCCTCTTGTCACTGTTCTGCTATAAAAATGATATGCTAATACTTGCATTTGGAGGTGACAGTTTTCTCAGTGCATAAGATCCTATTACATTTTCTTTCCCCCAAAGTCCTTCAAACTTCACTATATACGAACACGTACAGAACTTCATACTTTACGTACACTCCGTACCAGAGGAGTATGGCAGTTTAACTCCCTCCATTCATTTTTTGATGTATTATCTTTTGTTTGTTTGTTTGTTTGTTTTTGAGACGGAGTTTCACTCTTGTTACCCAGGCTGGAGTGCAATGGCGCGATCTCGGCTCACCGCAACCTCCGCCTCCTGGGTTCGGGCAATTCTCCTGCCTCAGCCTCCTGAGTAGCTGGGATTGCAGGCACATGCCACCATGCCCAGCTAATTTTTTGTATTTTTAGTAGAGACGGGGTTTCATAATAGCATGTATCTGGCTTTTATGCAACAGTTCAGAAATAAAGGAAAGCACAGTAATTAATATGAAACATGCGTTCTCCGTGAAGATTAAATAAGTGTTAACCTTTTGAACTATTACGTTGTCAAGTTTAGCCTAAAGCTGCCTCCTTACATATTTAAGTTTGGCCTAAAGGTTTCTCCGTACATCTTGAACTACAACAAGTGGAGTGTAAACAGACGGTAGTCTACTCTTGTGTCAATCACCAAGTTTTGGCCAATCAAATGTAACCAACTGTTTGAGCCGTGTTCAAATAAGGCAAATGCCGAGCTGTAACCAATCCAGCTGTTTCTGAACCCCACTTCAATTTTCTGTAAGTCACTTTCCTTTTACAGTCCATGAATCTTCTTCCACCACATGGCTGGGCTGGAGTCCCCGAGTCTACTCTGGCTGGGAAGGCTGCCCGATGCACTAATTGTTCATTGCTCAATAAAACTCCTTTAAATTTAACTCGGCTGAAATTTTTCTTTTATGATCAATTCCACGTTTCCTTTTTAAATAAAATTTGTCAGACTTAATTGGATGGATGCATAGATACGTGATATTAAAAGTAAAATGTTAATGGTAGAAGCTAGATAGTGGCTATACAATTCTTTGTGTATATTGGAACATTTGTATTATAAATGTTGCTGGGGGTGGGGGATAAGCTTGACAAATACTGTGAAACACAACCCATACACCTGGACCCTACCCTGTCCTCAGATATCCTGGAGATGTGTATAATATTTGCGCATTTTTTGTTGTTGTTCATGTGTTTGATTTTTTGAAATGGAGTCTCGCTCTGTCTTCCAGGCTGGAGTGCAATGGCACAATCTCAGTTTACTGTAACCTGTGTCTCCCAAGTTCAAGTGATTCTCCTGCCTCAGCTTCCCAAGTACCTAGGACTACAGATGTGTACCACCATGCCCGGCTAATTTTTGTATTTTTGGTAGAGATGGGATTTCATCATGTTGACCAGGCTGGTCTCGAACTCCTGACGTCAGGTGATCCACCCATCTCAGCCTCCCAAAGTGCTAGGATTACAGGCATGAGCCACTGTGCCTGGACTTGTGCATGTTTTCATACTGTTCCCTCACATGTATTTATCCATATAGTATATATGCAATCATTTATGTTTTTAAAATTTTCACAAATGGTTCGTATCCTTTTGTAACTTGCTCTTTTCAATTCCATTATAAATTTTAAGATTTACGCCGGTAGTACATGTATATTGGTGAATTCTTATTAACTACTATGCCCCATTATACACAAAATAAAACATTTGTTTCCCCTCTCTCCTACCTACATTTGGGTTGCTGCTACTGTCTGCCTCTAATTCTTCTATACGCATCGTCCTGTCCCAGCTTGCTGAAGTTTCTTTCTTCTTCTTCTTCTTTTTTTTTAACATGATGGCCATAAGGGAGAATTGAATTCTAGCATTTTCAGCCTCTGGAGTGAAGTTTCTAACAACGTGAAAAAAGTAGGTCCTTCAGAGGCCCCTCCAAAATGAATGTCTTAAAGGGAATTTCCCAAGGAAAGAGGAAAAGAAACGAAAAGTCTCTCTGAAGAAAGGCAAAGATTGAGAAGGGCGATGAAAGAAGGCTTCATAATCACGAAAGCAAAGGTAGAGTCTGCCTCTAGGACTAAGGCATAGAATGTGACTTTAGAAGTTTGAAAAAAAGTGTAGAGTAAATTTAGGAACAGTAAAGTTTTATTTATAGTGAACACACCATTAGAATAGATTTTCATTATGCAAGCTCAATCAAGGACAGAATATTGAACGACCAATATCCCCCATGTTACTTTTCTTTTAATGCTTGATGCTGCATGGAATATTCTTACAACCTAAGACAACTCAGTGATAGAACCTGAACATTTCTATAATAAACTGAACATCTCCCAGTTCCTATTCACAGTCACTATTTTGTTGAACACTTACAAAAAAAAAAAAAAAACCTGTGGTGCCACTCTTATTCCTATTTCACAGATCAAGCTGTGGAGACACAGAGAGTTTACAGAACTTGCTCAGGGCCACAGGGAAGGTAAACAAACTCCCAAGCTGTTAAGCTGCAAAGGCCAGTGAGGTGGAAACTATGCGGGCAGCCAGCACAGTGCCTCACGGAGGGGACTTCTTGTAGCACGACTTTGGCTAATCGTGACGACAAGGACAATGGGACACACAGAACTGGTGGTGACATAGACCCAAAGAGGTAACATATGGAAGCATCACATGGCTGCAGTGGAAACAGAACAAAAAAATTTATAATGAAGTCGCTTTTCGGTAACCTTGGCGACTGTCACTATAGTTTCAAGAAAATGTTTTTCTACACATTCAAAGCATCATCCATATGTTGGCTTCCATCTGTTGGTTTTCTGTGCCATATCCCGACACCGACCAGGTGTCTCCAAGCCCAGGAAGCCCTGTGATTAATTGTGCCTGTCCAGAGCATGGCTCAGGGACGCGGATTTAAGAGGAAAGGTCATAAAACCCACAGAGGCTATTGCAAATGGTGTCACAGCACTACTCACCGGTCATGGAGAGCGGGAATCTTGGTAGGACACTGCAAATACTGCTTAAACCGGAGCTCAAAGGCTTGTCCTATGGAGCCAATGACATCCTGGGCCAGCCCATCGCAGCATTCCAAAATGTGACAAGCTGAGAAAGGAAGTGACATGGGCCTATTAGAGATAAACACTGGTGCTCCCTGGGCTCTACAAAGAGCCCTTGCTGAGGACAGAGGGACAGCGAGGTGCATGCTTCTTCCATTATAGTCCTAGTAGATCCAACCGCAGCTTTATCCCTGGGTAGGGAATCCTACAGTTAAATATTTCACAATAGGCATGCGTTTCTTAATAGCCTATTGTCTACAAAATTATAGGCTTCATTGTTAAAAACAATTAAAGAATTTTCAAGTTCAATTGGATAGCCTTCATTTCTTTAGTCTATTAAGCATCAATTCTGACGTCAATAGGGAAAAATTGTTTAGGAGACTGTAGCATGACAAAGAGCCTAATCTTGGCATGAACTAAGTCCCTTTAAACCCATGAGGCCTTAAAAAATGGGTTGAAACCAGCATCTGTTGAATGAATCTTGATTTATTCAGTGGACTGAGAGCAAGTTGTTTACTTATTTCTTAGTGGAGGTAAAGTGTTGACCCCCATATGTGGCTACTCAAAACAATAAGCAAACCTTTGAAGATGAATATAAAGAGATATTAATGATCAGTTTGCCCATCCCAACAACATAACGCATCTACATAAATTTGAGACTGGATATTCATGCAGATTCTCAGAAAACCGGTTTGTGTCAAGAGTAGATAGAAGTTAGGGGTGGCGATGGTTCAAAATGAGGCCACTCCGAGGCCGGTGGTGAGGCCTGGAGCAGTCCTTATGCTTGAAGCAGGCACCAGCTGTTACACAAGGACATGCTGTCCTAGTGGCAAGGCTGCGGGATTATCTATGGGAAACCTTCAGAGAGAAGAGGGCCAGTCTCTGCCTCATAACAAAGTACTTCTTCTCCAGAGTACTGGAAAATATCTCTGCTCTCCAGACCCATGTCCAGAGTGCCCTACCACAGGCGTCCATGTGTCCCTCCTGAAGGAGCCACAGGGCTGTAGCCATAACGAGGCTAGCATGATCTTTTTACGAATGGGATAAAGGAATTCTCCCTGGGGAAGATGACAGCTGCCTCTCTCACACCCCACCTTTCTCCTGCAGACAGTCGTATGCCAAGGAGCGTTCCTCCAAGAGCTGCGTTGATCCCTGCGGTGAGGAGGATGTGTTTCTTCATGACTGGTTGTTTCCCAGCCCTGGCAGTAATTAGGGAGACACTGAACTGTGCCCTCTCTGTAGGAGAAGCCAGTATATACTGGAAAGAGGAAAGCTGTCTGGGAGGGGACAGAGAGGCAGATACTGCTGCCTCTGCACAACGTGGAGCCTCTCAGTGGAACACTGCACTGGGACTTCACCCAGAAGGCAGCCGGCCAGGCCCTGGGACCTCAGCTCCTTCTCCCCCAGACTCCAGGGCAGGGTGACTTCTGTGGACACATGAAATGTAGTCCTTTGAAAGAGCAAGTATGAATGTATTGCTGCTTTGGGTGGCAACGCAACTCCGTGGATACAGCCATCCTATTTTAGATATAGCCAAAAGATTTGTCTACAGAGCTTCAGGCTTCCTGGTTGTCTTTTGATTATTGATATTATTTTAGTATTGACATTATTATTTACTAAGTATTGCCCCAGGTAGTCACAAAGCAATATTAAGCAGCTGTTACAGCTGTGCAGGTCATTGACTGATACGAAGGCAACATCTTTCCAGCTAAGAAGGAAGGAGGAGTCCAGGCCTGAGCGAGGGAAAGCCAGTGATACTTCATTCCCCCAACTCCGTCCTGTGGTTTCCAGCCACACCCTCCCGGGCCAGCCGTCCAGCATCAGTACTAGCCAATGGGACTGGCTGGTCAGTGTTTTGGAGAACCAGAAAAAAGACTGGAAAAGGGTCAGAAAGGGTAGCCTTTTTTTTTTTTTTGAGGAGAAAGTAGGTACTCTCGCCTTTAAGTTGGAGAATGAAGAATATGATTTATTGAGAATGGGCTGTACAGTCTCATCCACATGCCACTAACCTTCTACACACCTGAAAGCACAAAGCGTGGGGAAGAGGCCTCTGTGGGAAGGGTCCAGAACATTTGGAGCAGGTCAGGGCTCAAGGAAAAAGTGCGCTAGCGTGCTGAGAAATGGGCATGTTGCTCTAAGTGACTAAGAGGGACGCAGGCCCTGCAGATTGTGAGCAGACCCATGAAGTCTCAGGAATTAACTCATGCCTGCAGCTCCTGGAACCTGCCAGAGTCCTCAATGAATGGAGAAAACAAGTCACCTATTGCTTTGGTTTAAGGATTCCTTCTGTAAAATGACCTCTACATGTTCCAGAAACTCACTCCAAATCCAAAATTAAACTGGGACTTTGTCTTTCTGGGCCTGGTATTTCTTCTGAGAGTATTGGCACTTAGCTGAAAGCCACTGTCTTCTAGCCTTCCCTGTGTGATTTGATGTGTGCACCAAATAATGAGGCCTTCCCCAGTGGCAGTCATCAAGGCTGCTGGGCTCTGCTGGGCTTCACTTCTCCCTGAGGACATAACACAACCAGAGATATCATCACAAGAAATGGAGAAGAAACCAACGAGAGAGATGTGCAATGCGCTGGTGCACAGAATCAAGATCCCAAATGATGCAAAGTCTAAAACATAGCTCAATGCAAACGAAGGTTAGCAAAACAAAATCCCACCATCCTTCTCATCTGGGGAAACTGCCCTTTGGAAAAACTCACACCAACAGCCTGCAATAGTTGTTTACTTAAAAGCAGGGCTCCTTTCCCAACACTGCTTTCTCTCTTGCTTAGCACCAACCAATTAAAAAAAAAAAAAAAAGCTGAAGCCACTCTCTAAGAGAACTAGCCCAAGCTGCCCCGGAGCAGCCATCTGAGCAGTGACATCAGCAAGGGACTCTCAGCAGGTCATGTCGCAAGGACTACTCCATACCTGAGATGGGCAACTTGAGAGCAAACCACTCCCTTAGGAATGTGGTGTGGCCCTGCAGTCACAGTGTAGGAGCCAGGGACACAGTGGCCTTCTACCATATGGTAGCTCCTGGCATGTCAACTCACATCTCCCACTCCCTGAAGAATAGTTGACAGTGGTGGATGAGAAGGCAGTGTTTAGCTGCAGCCCAGTCTGCCAGACTGCCAGTTCTCAGCTTCCTCATCTCCCCAAATAAGTCCAGAGGTTAGTAGCTGCTCCCAGCTTGGTGCTCAGGGCTGCCCCTTGCCATCTGCCAGCCGCAACAGGGCCTCCCAGTAAATTGGAGCCAATCTTGTTCATCTGAGCATGCTCTCAACACCCTCCCTGTGACACCTATTCTATGAGTCAGGGTGGGCAAGTTATGCCACAGTAAGAAACAATCCCAATGTTTTTAGCTGAAAACAACCATTTCATTCTGGCTCTCTCATTTCTGGACGCCTCTCTAAGGCAGACATCCTTTCATGGTGCCTCAGTGGCCCAGGCTGCTTCGATCCTTTGATCCTGGATCTCAACACAAGGTCTTTCCCACAACCTGCAGAAGAAAGAGACACCAGGGCCTTGCACCAGGACCAAATGCACCTTCTGTTCCGCTTTCAGCCCATGACACAGAACTGTCATGGGCTTCTCCCAAGCAGAAGGGGGCTGGCATGTGCCATCTTTTTTTTTTTTGATGGGGTCTCACTTTCTTGTCCAGGCTGGAGTGCAGTGGGGCAATCTCGGCTCACTGCAACCTCTGCCTTCCGGGTTCAAGTAATTCTCTGCCTCAGTCTCCCAAGTAGCTGGCATTACAGGTGCCCACCACTACACTCGGCTAATTTTTGTATGTTTAGTAGAGATGGGGTTTCACCATCTTGGCCAGGCTGATGTTGAACTCCTGACCTTGTGATCCACCCGCCTTGGCCTCCCAAAGTGCTGAGATTACAGGAGTGAGCCACTGCACCCAGCCTGGCAGGTGCCATCTTCTGCAAGTTTGGACGGATAGGAGAGCAGGTTACTAGGAATGCCCATCACACCCACTGAACCCCTTCTCTAAGTCACAGGTGTCCATGCTGCTTCTCACTCATACCTACCACAAAGAACTTTCCAACCATGCATCCCCAATTAGTGTCTATTAATTATGAATGTACATTCCTGTATTAATATTATGTGTATTATAAAAATGTCCTTAAAAAGATATCTTTTTATCTTCAAAAAGGATAAAATAGAGAGAATAAACATTTAAGCTGTCTCTTTAGCCCTGAAAGCATTACACTGTCAGTCAGTATCTCAAGACACAAGCACATTAGGTGTGATCCATCATTATTACAGTGGATAAAAATTCATCTTTCCATCCTGGAAATCCACTTCTTAATTGTCTTGAATGGAAGGGCTGATTTCTTACCTTACATGAGTAATGATCAGAGTTTTTACTGTGAAATCAGCCTGTGAAGTTTTCAAAGTGGAAGTAAATGTTATCAGCTCTTCCATTCATTTCTTTCTTCTTGCTTGCTTTTTTTTTTTGACAGAGTTTCACTCTTGCCACTCAGGCTGCAGTGCAATGGTGTGATCTTGGCTCACTGCAACCTTTGCCTCCCAGGTTCAAGCTATTCTCCTGCCTCAGCCTCTCGAGTAGCTACGATTACAGGCACCCACCACCACACCCAGCTCATTTTTAGTAAAGACAGGGTTTCATCATGTTGGTCAGGCTGGTCTCGAACTCCTGACCTCAAGCGATCTGACCACCTCGGCCTCCCAAAGTGCTGGGATTGGAGGCATGAGCCACCATGCCCAGCCAGCTCTTCCATTTCTTTCCTGTTTGTCTGAGTTACCATGATGAGTATAATCCCTAATGTACAGTTTCTCTCTGAGAGGTTTAGTTCAGTTAAAACTATTTCACACAAGCTGAGAACTCACTTCACTTCGCCACTGCACCCCACATCCCAGCACATGGGCTGGAAGCAGAGCACCCTGCCCGCTGCGCAGCCATCTTGCCCCTCCTCTGCTATTACAGGCTAAGGCCATCCTCAGTTTCCAGATTAGAACTGTGAGCCGATGCTCCAGCCTTCATGTCCCTCACAGTGGGCTGTTTCCACACTTCTGGCATAGG